CTCGGTGGAACAGTTGAAATCCAGGGAGCATGAGCTCTCTATCATCAACCTGTTCGGACAACCATGTTTCTGTTATTGATATAACATCTGGATGGAGTTCGTAGGTATGGATACGGAGTTCGTCCAGTTTAGAAAGTACACTTTGCGCGTTGGTATACATGAATATGAGTTTCGAGTTCATGCGAGATTTGTTTTCAAACCCGACACGGGCTACTGGGGTAGCTGTGCAGTCATTCGGATCGGCTTGATCGAGAGGGAAGCGGAAAGTCGTTTGACAATCCGGTCTTTGTAGATTGTCAAGTTTTTTTCTCCGTTGGTTTGCCGTGTTCTCAATTCTAGGACAAGTTCGCGGCGTTTCATGCTCTCGGCAGGTGAGTAGTCCGGCTGAAAAAACACTCCTTTATGGGAATGCTTCAATCGAAAACGCCTGGAAAGTATTAGTTTCGCCTGCTCATTGCTACGTAGGACGGTTTTTAGGGGTCGTGGTCGCGTCCTACGGGCGGCATTTGTACGGCTATCAAGACGAAACGCCTTTAGGACTGTGGCATCTGTTGGTTGCAGCATTTCATTGAGGAGTTTCTGGAATTGCTCTAAGTCAGCAGTGATTCGTTCCCTGGGGGAACTGGCGGAGAACTCTGCGAGGCCCTGAATTATGTTACATTGGTCCTTGTTAAGCATTCCTCTGTTTTCTGCGATTTGGACGTCGTTGAATGGCCCTATTGCCTCGTCGAAGTGGACTGGAGAAGAGGAAGGGGCTGCCATATTGGTATTTATGTCCACGTGAAGTTCGTCCGCGGATCCTGTTAAGGCATCGTGAATAGTTGCACACTGGGATCTGTCAACAATACCTCCCATCTGAGGGCTCTGTGGAGAGCTTGACCCCCATGAATTAGAGGCTTCCTCAGCTCGGTTCTTAACTCTGTTGACATGGAAATTCGCGGTGGCAGCTAATTCCACCCTGGGTCCATAGCCATATGTCTTTGCGCTAATTGATAATCCCTCTAAGTTAGGCTCAGGAAATGAGAACACTGTCTGGGAATTATTAAGGTTGGGCGTCATCTGCCCCATTACTTCCACTTCTTCCGTTAACACATTTACATTCGTTTCATTTTCCAACCGCTTTTCGGGTAAGGCTAATATACTCTCTTTCGTATTCTGGCGACTTTTCCCTGTGATGTTAAGTGTCGTCTTCTTCTTCTTATTCTTTTTTTCCTCGGAAGCCACGACTTGACTACTAATAGTAGTTGTCTTATTCACCCCATAATTGCTTTCTGGGGATTCATTACGATGGATGGCTTCGCTCTACTCCGAGTTAGCCTCTGCGTAGATAACACCGGGCGGTCCTCTGAAGGAACAGTCTTGTGTATAAGTTCCTTCAGATTTCTTACTTCTTCCTTTAGTTGATGCATCTTGTAGGCTATGGTTTGACAACCATTACATTAATATCCTACCAGATCCTGCGGTGACGAATTAACAAAGCTTTTAACTGAGCTCGCCAGCCGTGCGTCGGTGGTGTAGGGGTTAGCGGAGCGAGCTCTAAGTTTTGAGGTCCCCGGTTCAAATCCCAAGTGCGCGTTACTTTGGAACACTAGTGCAGACTCCAGCATTCTGGATAACTTTTCTATATACACAAAGAGCGTAGACTTAAGTATGAAGAAAAGGCCTTTATGACGATCTTTCGGTAGATAGTAACTTCATTAGCTGAATGGGAAGGTATGGTCGAGAAGCTTCCGAGAGCAAAAATTTAGACAAATATTTGTCTATATACTTTGAGGCGATGATGAAACAATGTCTAATAGTAGAAAAGCGACTCAGCCTTTGTAGAAACTTTGGATGAATTGTTCTTCAGATAATCCGACTTTCTGGGCTTGGAAGTATAAGAAACGAGGAAGGCCGAAATCGGAGTTCTGAGAATGTGCTGCAGGAGACTAGTTGGGAGGAAGATACTGATGAGTCGAATTCAAGTCTAAATTCCGGCAAGCTCTAAGAGCGTACAGTAAGTCCAAATCTCGAAGTAACTAAATTCCTCGGAGAGCGAAAATGTGAAACCAAATTCGAAACGCGCTATTCGCGGAATTCTAACGCGTGAACATTTAACATTACTACACAGATGCCTTAACAAGAATTTCTTGCCAAATTCTCTGCGTGTGAATCCGGCCGTCAAATCTACCCTGGGATATCCAATTGCATCTCATTACGGCCTATGAATGCTTAGTGCGTTCATAACCGTTACCCTCTACCGACTTCATAAATTTCAATTTTCTAAAAAGCAGCACATGCAGTTTTGCCGTGACGAACTCCCTTCAGACTTATTTCAATCCCTAAGTGACACGATTACTCGTGTGTCCAAGCTCGAACGACAAAAGAAGGGGAGCGTTTGAGACAGAAAGTGAATAGCTATCTCACAGCAGACCGATGCAGATCAGAAGCGTCCGAAGAAGGTCGTAAATCTCTCCTCGAGAACGCCAACAACGACAGACGAGAGTGTGCTTTCCAAGGGAGTGAAATACATTCTTTTTGACTCAAACTATTTGGACTTACCTGCGAGCTTAAAATCCATTATTTCGGCAGCAAACCTTACGGAAAACGAACGGTTTACCATCCGAAACAGCACCGCACAAGCCTTAAAAGATCGAAGTCATTTTTCAGTACTATCACATGAAGAAAACAGTGCGTTAAAGAGTCTACGAATTGACAAAATTATTATCGTTCTCCCTGCAGACAAGGGGGCACAGTCGCAATTTTGAACAGAATAGACTACAGTAATAAGATGATGTCATTGTTAGAAGATGGATCTACTTATAAAGCACTTTCAGCGGATCCTACCAAAGCTCAGCTTTCATACATTGATAAAGTTCTGAAGCGTTTAACATGGAAGAAGCAACTGTCAGGAGATATAGCGAAATCCCTGAGACAAAATGAACCGACAATCGCGAAGATGTATTGATTGCCTGAAGTTCACAAGACGCATGTCCCACTATGATCGATAGTATCATTAATCGGGACACCGAACTACAAAAATTTCGAAGTGGTCTTTCCAAAAACGTCATCCACTTTCGAGGAATTGCGAAACTTCAATTGAGAACTCAAATGAGTTTCTAAAGAAATTGGAAGGAATCACAAACTCTTCTGATGAAATAATGGTTTCCTTCGATGTCGTGTCCCTCTTCACATCGATACCTCTAGATGTGGCAAAACAATGCACAGAAGAACTATTTATGTCCTATGATATAGACGTTCCTGCAACTGCCGTGCTCGAACTCATAGACCTATGCTTGGAAACCAACTTCTCATTTAACCAAGAGTGCTATCAGCAACTGAAAGGAGCTCCTATGGGATCCCCAATATCTGCTTTTCTCGCGGAAGTCACAATGCGGAAACTGGAGACTACGGTTCTTCCGTCAATTAAACCTAAATTGTGGCT